ACCTTGGGTCAGGAACTGTGTCTGTGACTGTGAAGTTCCTAACACATTTTTAGGAACACCATCACAACTAATAATCTCCCTGTGGCTCATTGCTCAGGACCATGTCACTCTATGAATGGGGAAAGCCAGTGAGCTTATGGGGAAGTAATTGTGCATCACACCATGTGCCACAAAAGAGGAAGTTGCCAAATAGTAAGCATGGATGTTGGCCTAACTTCTGATACACCCTTTATGAGTGATCTGTCCTCCTGCCTGCTGCAACTTCAGGTACTTTTCATAGGCCTGGCTATTCTCCTGGTTTCACCATTGTCATGAGTACTCCCAAGTTCCTTTCTCAGCTGTGCCATTCCTTTCTTCCCTGTACTCTCTCATTAGTATTTGGTGCTGGCCCTCACAGGCACATTCACTTATCTGCAGGCTGTAACCTTAGCCCAAATTTCCAAATCTTCTCCTTCTCCTCTCCCTCTACTCTCAGGTCTCCTAACTCTCAATCAGATTTCTGTCTCCTTTATGTTCCTGCCAATGTCTTCTATTCCTTCTCTCTAAGATATGGGTGGGGTCTTGCATTTGAGCACTTTCTTCTTTGTGGGAAGGGAAATGGCAAGAATATTCCAAGTTCACTCTTGTCTGTCCAGTTCCATCTCTGATCATGCACCTTATGGAGCTTCTGCTACAAAAGGTCATGATGCAGCACGTGTGCATTGTTGTTCTTGTCTCTAGAGTTGGGGAGAGCTCTTGCTATGTCTCAGCACTATGAAATTGCAGCTCGTGATCAGATATTTAGTAATGTTTCTATATGTCAACTTCTGTACAACTTTAAAAATCCCTCTGGTGAGCTCAGACCAATACAAAACATATGTAATGCATTTGCTTAGTAATCAGCAAACTACCTTATGTAGCCAGTAAATGTTGAGGCCCAAACTGCAGATGAGATCACTTGCTTTCAGGTGTTTTCTCAATATTGTGTTCAGCATCAAGTATAAATTGAACAGAGTGACCTTTTGATATTGAGTCAAATTGACTGCATTTCCAAAGATTCTGTGGTTTCAGTTACCATATATTTGTGATATTGAGTCCACAACCAGTGCATTGGCTCTAGCATAGCAATATCTTACCATTGCACCTATTAACACAGTCTGTAGCAGGATACCTTGTTCCCTGTGTTTGGGGATTCTCCCCCCCCACCCACCCCCAATCAAAGCTTGTGGGGAGGAGAGGAAAGGTAGGCAGTTTACACAAAATCTGTTCATTAAATGGATTGCAAAATGTGAATGATTTTTGGTCAAAAATTGTAAAAGGTGTCACAGATTACTAGCTGGCTCCTCAGTTTGTGAGATGAATAAGTCAATTAGTAGCTCCTCAGTTTATTAGAATCTTAATTGTCAGGCTGTAATGGAAACTTCTGAACTGCAACAATTCATTAAAAGCAATAAAACATGTGACCTTTTTGTAGATTACTTAGTAGACCCTTTTTTAAGATGCCATATTTATTTCATAGTATAAAAGTTAAACTTTACACCTGAAAAAACATTACAA